AAGTGGCGTCGTTTTATTCATGTATATGTTGGCCCTATCCCAGAGATGTATAATTGAAGAAATAAAAAGAAGGCTGAATTTGTTATTCCATTTGTTTCAAAATATAAGTTGTTTTAGCAAAAAACACGGATATTAAGAAATTACTTTTTAAGTAAAAAATATTATTTAATATATCTAATAAAAATAATTTGACCAATCACACAAAAGACTGCAAAATACTAATGATCACACAATATTCAATAAAGTTAAAAGTACCTAATATTGTCAAAACAACTTACATTTTGAAACAAAAATAAAACTCTAAAACAACTTATATATTGAAACAGAGGGAGTATCATTTAATTTGGACAAATGCATGCATCCTAATTTTTGAAAAATATACTAAAAAAGTTTGAGTGGATGACATAAAAGTGAAACTGAGAGAAATTAAATATAATTAATAAAAGAGGTGAAAAAGTACCGATAGAATTTAAAAAATTACAATTATCTTAATTTTTTTTATAATTCATGGTAAATTCAACCCTATGAAAAAGTTCAGGCTAATCTCTGAGAGAAGTGCAAATTATGGATAGACCTTTTTCTGGGTTTGCAAATAGACCGAAAACAAGGATCCATATCCATGTAGATGTCCAGAACAATGTGTTTTAGTTTCACGTAGCAGATAGATCAAATTCGTAATGTGTTTGCGTCACGAGCCCATCTCCTTACCACTTAACCACAAGGCTCGGAACGTATATCTGAATTTTGCAGAGAACAAAATTCTACTCCTTTATTGTGTTTTATTGCCAATGATAAAAAAGTACCTAAATATTTCTACTTGATTTGTACAAGTTGAAGAATATTTTTCCTCTGTTTTCCACTGTTTTTACGAACTTGTTTCAATCACATCCAAAGAGTGCATAAATTTGTATAACGAAAATAAAGATCAAGTGATTTTTATAAAGGTCCACAAATTCCATAGTGTGCACATATAAAGTGCAGCTGTCGAGATACACTTAAACACTGTACTGTAAACTGTATGGTGTGAGCTATTCATGTATGTAACGGTAATCTCAATAAAAATAATAATGACAAAGAAAACATTAAAGAAATTTATCTCAATATTCGTGTTATTACAGCAAAGCACATGGCCTAAGATCGCGAAGGAGGCATATATTTTCGAAATACGCAAAGACTGTTAGGACAAGAGTGTTTTTTAATTTTTGAACTTTTTAATTTTTGATCTTATAATTATTACCCCGACAACAAATTATTTAGTGGCTGCAACTCTACGACTTGGACCAGAAGCTAACYTACGACCCGACGACATATTCAC